GTAACAAGATTAGTGAAAGCGTTTCTTAGTTGAACATAAAAAATAAATAAATCTTTAAAGTGGGAAGAGAAAAACACCCAAATCTCTATGTGGAAATTGAGGGGCTCTGGTGTGTGTGTGTATATACGTGCGGGTGGATGCGCGCGCTTTTCTATACCCCCCCAGCTAATCTCCCCCCACACCCGCCCATCAAGGACAGTTGATCATGTGAAGGAGACTTAGAAAAGGTTTTGAGTTCTTGTTCGGTAGAATCCCCAAATACAAAGCCTGGGCATTTGGTGGTTGGTTGCGTTGGGGTGTGTTTTAAAAGACTGTATAAAATGGCACACTGCATTTCTGCATTTTTTTCCAGGCTGCAGAAGAGGGGGGCGGGGGATAGTGCAGACTGTGTAGGGACACTGCCCTCCTAACCAATCAGAACGCGTCTGTTTGCCATTACAAAGTTGTTAACCCCAGAGTCTTCTGGCTCCTGCTGCCTTTGCTTTTAATCTTTGGATATTTCTCAGGTTTACTCGAATCCCCCCCACCTCGCCAGATATGGAGAAAAAACCTTCGGAAGCGGCTGCCGACCATGGGAAGGAGATTATATTTTCATTTGCAAAGATTTTTAAAGATGTTGGATGATTCTTTCGCTGCCTGCAGCTGGTTGATTGCAAGCGAGAAACTATACACAGACTTTCGTTCCAATCGGGAAAAGGCAGCTGGCTGCTTCCTTTCGAGGTAAGTTTTCTAATCCTTCTCACACATACGCACACACATACACAAACACGCATAAAAAACGTCGAAATATTTCTTACATGTATGAACCAAATGTAGATTTTTTTCCTTTCAAATATGAGAGCTTTTTAATTATTATGACAAAGGTTGGGTCTTTATTTTGACCATTAAGAACAATTGTGTTACTGTCTTTATGGTGAATAAATTAGACCCCTGTACTTGAGTCGTTGATGGAACTGCCAACAACAGAGATCTTTTCAAGGTGGAGTTGGAGTCTGAGTCTCCAGGGTGGATAATTGTGTCCGGAACAGAACATATATTTTTACAAAAGAGGAACTAAGTATATTGATAAAGAAATGTGCTTTAGTTTATTTGAGTTTGAGATTAATTGGGAAAGGCTTCTTAAATTAGATTGTTGAAAACTGCCCTTAATATATGAAGGAAGAGATTGATATAGCAGGATTTACATTAAGTTATGTCTGTTACTAAATATTGGCCTTTTATTCCCCAATCGGCTCTTTTTTTTTGTTACTTGCTTTAAAACCTTTCCATAAAAAATATGAATGATGGTGCTGCATTCAAGTGTCCGTGTCCCTTTGAGAAGATTCATTTATGAGACATTTTGTAATTTTGGGCATTTTTCTGGGGTTTTTTTCATTTGTACACAGTAGGAAATCTTTTTTGTTTTGTATTGATCTGTGTTGGTGGCGCTGTGGTGCTCCTAAACAATTTATGTTCGTTTCACCAAGAAAAGGGGGGGGCAGAGAAAGGTGGGGCAAGATTTGATCTATTGTATCATAATTTCTTTTTTTCTTATAACAAACCCAGCTTTAAATATTAATACATGCATTATAGTTTGGATCATGTACAGTATATGCAATAATCAATATACTTGGAAGTTCAGTGTATAGCATAACAGAGGTGTCGTCACAGTCCTTTGTTGTTCTGTGAGACTAGAGGCAGGGTTTGGATTTTTGTTACTTGCTTTAAAAAATCCAAGGTATGTGGAGAACTAATTCATTATTTAGTCATGGTTTTATCTTTTCTTAAAAAAGATTTTCTAGTAGCTAAAACCAATTTTATATCCTCTGTAGAAAGTGACTGTTTTTATTGTGCTAAAGATTCATTATCAGATAAGTGTTTTTCATAATACTTGGCAGAGTCTTAAACCCTTTCTTTTTTGTTTAAAAAAGTAAAAAAAAACATATCAAATAACAGTTTGGGATTGGCTTTTTTAAAAAAAGTGTGTATTTTTTAAATGTTCTGTAGATACTGTATGCTTTAATTAAGAATAGAAGCTGAAAAAGACAAATATATAAATTTAAAAATTAAGTAGCTTTGTGTCTACATAAAATCATATATACATAGTTAGATACATATATTAAGAATCAAATATCTGTTTGCTGCAAACATTTGTAAATTTACATAGTATAAACAAAAAGATAAAAAAGCTGCAAAGATGCATTTATACATGAACAATTCATAAAGTAAAAGGATTTACATTATATAATTTGAACTGATCAAAATATCTGGGAAAATGCAACAGGTTAATAAATCTATTAAAGTATGGGGAAGGAAGGAATTATTTTTATTTTTTCTTTTGAATTTCTCAGTGTAGTTCATGTGAAGTTCTTTGAATAATTTATATAAGTTTTATAGAAGACACTTTTAAACAGAGGATATTGTGTAGGTAGAAAAATAGTAGCTGACATTAAACATGTCCTTCCAAAATAATTTTTCTTGAAACTGAAGCAATATTTATTTACAGATTAAATGGCACCTTGTAGAATGTATTTGAGTGTTTCAGAATTAATATTAGTTAAAACACGTTATTCTTAGTTAAAACATGTAACTAAATTGTAACATAAGAATTTATATGGTTTAGTTCCCTATTTAGTTTATTAAATCTATATTTAAGTATATGAATAACAATTATTTCTACTAAGCAGAATATGCTTTCATTGATTATGGCCTCACTATATAATAACAATGGCTCTTTGAAAAGACCAATCATGGATGTTCTCTTACAGATCTAGGAATGCAACTCATGCAGCTTCCATCTCAATAAAATGTGGCAGTGCAGCATATGATTGCACCATACAGTGAACAGCTACCTTAATATATGGGTGCAGCTTGTATAGCAATTATTGGGAAAAATGGTGTTTAAATGTTTGGCTTTGGAAAACCAGTTGTTATCCAGGTTGAGGTAGAGATTTCTATTCACTCCTCATTCTGTATGCATCCTGATAGAAAGGATTGCATTCAGACATATATTGTACAAAAGAGAGAATTTTGCTTTTTGTTAAACCTGTACCATATACGCTTTAAATCTTCAGACAGTCCAGCTTAATATATGAGAAAGATACATTTACTTGTTGATTATGTTTTTTATGTTTTTAAATCACAAGGTTTTTTAAGAGGTTTACTAACGGTTAAATCCTTTAAAAATTATTAGCTTTTAGGATTGCAAAACATTTGGAATTGAGACTTTTTAATGACTGGACAAATACTGACCAGTAAGATAAAACAACTTAATGTGGAATATGTTCATACATATGAACTCATACATAAATGAATTAAATCAGATTTTTAAGATATTTCATTAAAGTACAATTAATAGACCCTTGACTGATATAATGCTAAAATTCCTTTTTTTTTTTCAGATGGAATAGTAGAAAAGCTAGACTTACTAGCAAATAGAGTTGAAGAAATAATTTGTCTAGTTTATTACTTCATAAATAAATCATTGAGTTACTCTTGCATTGTTTTACATCATGTAGGCTGAATTGTATGATGTAGAGATTATAACTGACATGGCGGCTACACTTGTGATGATAAGAATGAAGAGGGGAAATTATTAAACTGACTCTGGATGCATAAAGTGCGGTAAGATTGATAGGACGATGAATGATCAGATCAGAAAATGTACTTAACACAGACAGTTCTAATGTATAATTGTGGGTGGTTTTTTCAAAGAGAGGTATGACTAAAATGGCATAAAGTAAACCAATTTGCAAAACTAAATAGTGAAAATTACTGGAAGGCAAAAAAAAAAATATTGAAAAGGACTAGAAACTTAAAAAGCATTAAAAACTAGCTAACATAAAAATGAGAAAAGTGGTCTTTAAAAAGCTGTGTTAAATTATACTTTAAGGCAGTGGTTCTCAGTCTGGTGTGCAGACCCCTGGGAGGCTGTGATGTCATCAAAGGGGGTCCACGAAGACTTGAAGAAACGTTATAATTCAAATCTTGAGTTAAGTCTTGGGGGTCTGTGCCTGCGGTCCCTGGCCACAAAAGGTATTTAAAGGGAAAGGGGAGTCTGTGGAAAGGTTGAGAACCATTGCGTTAAGGTATATATTCTATAGATGGCAAAAAAAAAAAAAAAAAAATCTAGGAAGTGAAACTTCTGCTTGGGCAGAATTTAATTTAAACTTTAGGTTTCTATGGTCTACCTTTCATGGCATTTTGAAATAAAAGTTTAGCTTTCCTTCTGAATAACCACAAATGAGTCTGCACATATCTGAAATCCCAGAACAGGATTTGTAATTTAAAAACATTTGAAAAAATTATCTTACTGCATTAATATTTCGAGACAGATTACAGTTTTTGAATTTTTAGTATTGCAAAATTCTAGTTACTATTGTTACTCTTTGTTGATACTTTTTTCTGAATAACAGCCAATTTTTATTTTCTGAATCAAATTGACAGAAGTCTTAATTCAAGGAATGCTTCAAAGACTATTAATACTTGATTTGGTAAAATGAACAACTGATGCTGAAAAGATGCCATTTTGTTTTGCTGTGTGACGTAGCATAATAAATAACAAAAAGTAGGTTATCCTCAATTGTCATTTCAAAATAACTAGTTACAGATATTTCAGTTTAAGGCAGAATGAAAGAAAAGACCTACAGATGGATCCATCTAGCATATCTCCTCAGGCATTACAATTAGAGGGTCAGAATGGCACTTGTGCCATGGACTTCGCACTTTGACTAATATTTTTGGTGATTTAATCCAATAACTCATAATGCAGGATTGTAGCCCTTTGTATATTCAACTTATAGTTCCATTTTCACTATTAACTGAATCAAAAGTATCTGTAAATTAATTTCATATTTTCTCAGAAGATGCCATGTTTCCCCAAAAATCCTGTCTTATATTTTTTTGAACTCTGAAATAAGCGCTTGGCTTGATTGCCATGCACTCAAAAGCTCAATTGGGCTTATTATCAGGGGATGTCTTATTTTGGGGGAAACAGGGTAGTTGCATTGCATTCAACTTACTTCCAGATAAATACTTGTGAGAAGGTGGCTTCAGGCTCTCCATGCTGTCCAAAAGGAAGCTTTCTGCCCCTTCCTGTACAGAGATGAGTAGAAAGGTTGAAAAGGTTCTTATATGCATATTCCCATTGAATTTACCTTTCTATTATTCAATTCTGAAGAACATTTTATTTCCTAACATATTAATAATATTGGATGGTATTAATAATAAATAATAAAACTCTATGCAATTAAATTGTGGGGTTCAAAATGGTTGTAGATGTAGTAGAGATACTTGAAGGAACCTGTGTTGCTTGTTTCCTTATCTAAATACGTATGACTTGAGTGATAAATCGTGGTACATCTAATTTAAGTCATCAAATACTTTACGAGATGTTATACTAGTTGGATCATTCCTTATTCCAAAAATATAAAACTCCATTTTCAACAGTGAAATGTGCAAATGTGTCTAAGAATCTCAACTTTTACTCTCTTGTTTTATATTGCTACAATGTGCTAAGCATGCCTGAAATTTTTTTATTGTTCAAATAATGTAATGTCTATGCCAGTGGTTATCAAACATTTTGGTCTCAGATTCCCTTTACATTCTTAAAAGTGATTGACTCCAAATATCTGGTTTATGTGCACTATCTATATCTTTCAATATTTACTGTACAATATTAGAATTTAAAACTGAGAATTTTTAAAATATTTATTTGACTTTGCAAACCCCCTGAAAGGATCTCGGAGATCTCCAGGTGTCCCCAGACAGAGAACTGCTGGCCTTTGACATGTACTTTTCCCAGGTCTGTGCTTTTTTTTTCCTTTTATGTTGCATTGTATTCTCATTATTACTATTCTAGTTGGTCACTGTCTTCTAAATCAGGGGCAGGCAATTTTTCCAACGGGCCACCTGAGAAATTGGGTCTTTTGTAGAGGTACAAATCAATAGGCTGTGAAGTTGCATTTGCATGCACATATGTAAATTGAAAAAAATAGCAATGTAGTTGTTTTGTGTGCATGGCATATACTGGTACTTATTTACCTATGATTTTTAATTTCTGCTTGATGTCATGCGAGCCAGATGTAAACAAAGACTGGATGTTCCCTGGGACCATAAAATGCCTAGGTCTGTCCTAAATAATACTAACTGTCTCAAAATGTATTTTGAAATTGAGAAACATTGATAACAATAAAGATTCTTTAAAAGGTTAGATAATGTCTTAGTACCCCAAAACAAGATTGGGATGAAGTGTTGAAAAAGCAATAGATCTTTTATAATAGTGACCAGATAGATAATTATAGTTGGATGGTATCATTTGCACAGAATACAGTACTTTTCAGCTTCCACCATCTAGGAGAGAAAGCCTTATATATTTTAGACGGATATATATATTATAGTCCTCTTTACATAAATTAAGGGAAAGGAGAATACTAGAGCAAAAATGAATTGGTGAATATTTCTGGATGTATCTGCCATGTTAGAAATGAGGAAATTTTTCTACAAAAATATCTTAACTGTGACTATAACCAGATTCTCTGGTTATCACTGAATCCTTAGTCATTGTACCTATATTATCATATCAATTCAGTTAAGATTTAAAATGAAAAGTAGAAGGGGAAAATTATCACCCTCTTGCATCAATGTCTATGGAGATTCTCAGTAATCCAGGTCATGGTTGTTCCAAAGGTGCTTCAAGAGGTCACTGGACATCCTGCAGAAAGCACAGCTCCACAACACAGTCCTTTCAGCAGTTCCAAGAAGGCTCTCTTACCCATTTGCATTACTCAGGTGATCCTGAGGACACCTACAAACCTCCAAGTGGCCTCAACAACTCTCTAAAGTAATGCAATCGCAGAACAAAAACTTATGACTTGGGGGTCTATGGAGATTCTCAGTCATCAAAGTCATGGTTTTCCCACAGGTGCTTTTTCAGGAGGCAACTGGACTTTGTTTTTTCTTTGAAGACATTTCGCTTCTCATCCAGGAAGCTTCTTCAGCTTGGATTGGATGGTGAAGGGGCATAGGACAGAAAACATCCTGCTGCCAAAAAAAGGCTCCAAACCCACTTACACTATTCAGGTCAGTGGTGGGTTGCTACCTGTTTGCTCTGATTTGGGCGAACTGGTAGCGGCGGCGGGAGCCTCCGCCCACCTGCCTGGATGTCATCAAATATGATCTGCGCATGCGCAGAAGTGGTGCGCGAGAAAAGCGAGCGCACAAGTACGAGTGAACCGGTAGTAAAGGTAAGTGAAACCCACCCCTGCTTCAGGTTATCTTGAGGAAACAGATAAACCACCAAGTGGCCTCAACAACTCTCTAAAATAATGCAAATGATCAGCTTGTCTGCAAGAAATATAAATCCTTCCATTCCCCACAATCCAGTCAGAGCTGAAGAAGATTCTTGGACGAGAAGTGAAATGTCTTCAAAGAAAAACCAGAACATCCAGTTCCCTATTGAAAAAACACCTTTGGGACTCTTGCACCAATCTATACAATTCATACTGCTGGTGCCCTGTATTAACTAGAACTGATTTAATTGTATAATGTAGTTCTGATAAACACAGAAAAATCACTATTGAAGCTGAGGCTTAGTTCAGTGCTAGAAAAGATGGAACAAAAGTGGCGAAATAACAAATCGGAATAGGAGCATCTTTTCTTCCTGAGCTTAAAGCATATTTTCCTTGCTTTTTTTCAATTACAGGCAGTGGTCTTATCCAGTCTTGACTAAAACTGTCAGTTCCAAAACAGACCCATCTAATCAAGCATATAGCTAATAACAGCCAACAAAGGTATAGATATGAAATTAATACTCATCATGTTCATCAGCATTTTGCATTCAGAGGTATTGGCTGTGCTTACAAGTAGCACTCCTAAGTAGGAACAAACCTTATTTGCTTTTGTAAGGAAGGGCATCCATGGGGGAATATGAGGAAACTGAATGACAAGGGCCTAATTATACAATTGACATAGTTGTATGATTTGCATGATGACATCACAACAGGTCATTTTGACATCATTACAGTTTATTACTGACACACTCTCAACTCAGACACATTAATTTTATTCTTAATTATTTTAGCTAATTATGCATTTGAGTGGGATCGAGCAGGTGGACATACCCATCAATGTTTCTGAACAATTCTTCAAAACTCTCATCGGTAAATAGGTTATTGCCATAATTTAATAATTTGCCTAAACTATAAATAATTGACCTCTAAGTAAATATACATGAGTATGGAATTCGACTATGGAATTTGATTAAAGAACGTGAAATTATACTATTTCTTTATTAAGATAATTATTTAATTTTCATATTTGTGGCTAATTTAGTTTTTTTATACTTTATTTTTCATAATTCTTCAGTTAAAATACATGTGCTACTACAGCTGTAAAATTTATATTTTACAGCTGTAGTAATTTATAACTACAGGAAGGAATGAGTCAATGTAGGAAAAGTTTGTAAAAGGTTTATAGGATTATGCCTTTAGACAGGCAATATTTCTTCCCAATATTTTATAAAAAGTTTATACCTCAGTCCAGTATTGGCCATGAGAATATTTGATAGACTGGCCTGATTTTTATATTATCTAATTTGGCTTGTTAGATTTTGGATGAGTATTTTGTCCTAATCCTAGCTATTTTAGTTTAGTTAATAAAGGATAGCTTAGAAAATTTGAGCACAGTAATAAGTCTGTTAATTAACTGCAAATACTGTCATTTTTTTGAAAAGCAGTATTTTTGTCTGAAGCAAAAAAAAAAAAAATCCTGAACACATAGTAAATGTATTAAATATATTTACTAGGACAAGTTCAGAAGAAATGCATGTTGCAAATGTGCAGAATAAAAATGTATGATTTGGGGTCTATGGAGATTCTTAAGTCATCCAGGTCATGGTTTTCCCAAAGGTGCTTTTTCAGGAAGCAACTGGACTTTGTTTTTTCTTTGAACATGTTTCACTTCTCATCCAGGAAGCTTCTTCAGCTCTGACTAGATGGTAAAGGGACAGTGAAAGTACACAGGACAGAAAACATTCTGCAGCCAAGAAGGCTCCAAACCAGAGGTCCTCAAACCTTTTAAACAGGCCAATTCACGCTCCCTCAGACTATTGGGAGGCCGGACCAGCTAGGTGGGCGTGGCTAGGTGGTCATGTGACTGGGTGAGCGGCACCAATTTAGGGGGAGGGCATGGCCGGGGTGGTTGCGACCAACTGGGTGTGACCATTTTTTGCCTCCTGGGAATGGGCGTGCTTTTACCATCTCTACTTGCAAGAGGAACATGCTCCACATGCGGGCCAAGGGCAAGACCTGTGAGGGGGCCAAGGAGATGACCAGCGGCGACCTGCGCTCCAACTACAAGCCAGAAGAGATGGGATGGAGTAGGTAGCAACTGCCCCACACCCTCCTTACCTTGTCTTCACCCGCAGCGGCAGCAGTAGCGAAAGGCAGAGGCACCGGGGAGACGCATGTGGTCCAGCCTGCTGGATGCGTCAGGCAGCCACCTGCCCTGTCCCGGCCACATGGGATGGAGCAGGCGTGTCCGGTGGTCTCCATCACATGCCTCCCCCCCACTGCTGGTGCCAGTGACACCACCGCCATGCCTATTTCTTGGAGGGCCAGTTGCAGAGTCCCTGCTGCCAGACTACCTGCATCTTGGCAGATGCCGCTCATTTTGCATCTGAAGGGTGTGACACGCATCGACACGCACATATTGCCACCGCCTGGATTCTCTGCAGCTGCTTTGGTCCGCGAGGCTGCACTGCCCACATCACCCCTCCACCAGCTGGCCCACCTGCCCGCCAACCCACACCCTTCGGACATGTGCAACAGGCTCGGGCAAGGGCTGTGCATGTCTGGCAGGCATGCATCTCTAGGAGTGGATCTGACAAGGAAGTCCCAAGATGGGGCCTCAGCAGCACTGATCCACTGGCCGGCCAGCCCTTCCCATCTCCCTCTCCAATGGTGGAGACAGACATCCTTCAGAGGAAGGCAGCCTCGCCCCAGAACTACCGAGTGGGAGAAGGGCGGGCACCCAAGTGGCAGTGGGGGGGGGGGAAGAAGGCAGCAGGGGCAACTGTTGGAGCGCCCGCTCCCTAGCTCACTCTTGTCTCGCCAGCCCCGCTTCACCAACAGGTGCCCGCTGGCTTGCAGGAGCCTCTTTCGGGCCAGGAGCTCCAGGGCCGTGGTGGCTGCTTGTCTACTTGGAGCACGCTGGTTAATCCCCGCCCAGAGTCTGGGGACAGACGGACAGAGGAAGCCCGAGTTAAGAAGCGAGGGTGGAGGATGCAGTTTTCCCCTCTGGGGCCTTTGCGCATCCCATTTTTGACCTCCCTGGTCCCCAGAACAATTCTGCTGGCCAAAAACTGGACACACAGAGGCACTCCGGGGCCTCCTGCATTCCGTTTTTGGCTTCCACAGCCCCGGAAGCACTCTACCAGCCAAAAATGTTGGCATCATCTTCCAATTCCAGCCCATGGAGCTTGCCGAAGGTAAGGCATGCACTCTGCAGAAGGCGGGTGGACAGGGTGATGTGGGCAGGGTAGCCTCATGGTCCCATGCAGGTTGAATTAATGTCTTTGGCAGGTTGTATTAGGTCTGTGGGCCATAATTTGAGGGCCTCTGCGCTAAACCCACATGCACTATTCAGGTGATCTTGTGATCCAAACCACAGATAAACCACTAGATGGCCTAAAAAAATGCAGATGACCAGCTGTCTGCAAGAAATATAAATTCCCATCATCCAGTTAAAGCTGAAGAAGCTTGGATAAGAAGCGAAACGTCTTTAAAGAAAAAACAAGAAATCCAGTTGCCTCCTGAAAAAGCACTTTTGGGACAATTGTGGCTTATGGGGCAGGAAATGTGGATTCTATAGAAATGTATGGTTATAACAATTTAATGAGACTTACGATCAATATTTTGCCACCATATTGTCACTTAAGTCTTTCTGAATTCTGATTTTTATAATCAGCCATATTTGTTTTGATAGTTCTACTTTTGCTAACTAACCTGGGTACTCTTAAAATGGAAAAATCTAATATAATATACATGCAATTTACATATTACAGATTATTCTGAACTCTATATCTACTGTTTAATATTTATAAGCATTGGATTTTTATTAAATGAGAAGTATTCTTCATATAAGCCTCCATGAGAAGTTTGAAATGTATAATCCAGCTATGAGTTTCTTGTCTTCATCTTTTCTAGAGTAAGACTCAATTTCAGAAATATGGATTTGAAGCCCTGGTGATTCCATTGAGTTACCATTTTTCCTCCAAACTAGGTAACCCATGAACCATTGGGTCATTGTTTCAGAGATATTTTCTTAAACCAAGAAGCAGTATGAACATGGATGGGCAAAAAAGCAATGAAAGTTAATTCCTATATCCTGCAGGCTTCTCCCTTGACTTTGCTTGGGGGAAGCTGGTTAGAAGCATTGGAAATCATGATCACCTGGCTGCAGCAGCATATGGTGGCACCTGCAGCAGCTACAACCTTGCTAATACATCTGGTGTTAAGATGCTTTTCTTAAAATTTCAGTCCCATGGGGATAATGGGTCCCTGATTTTTTAAAGTTAGCCCACTTGAGTTAATTTGATTCAAACATTATTGCACTATAATACATTGTTTTGCCCAGCTGAAGTTAAAAGGCAGAACTTTAGCTGTATATAAATAGAATTACAGTTGCTCAAATATCTGGTTTACTTGGTTTGACAACTCATGCTCAAGACAGAAGCTGTTACATCCATTTTCAGGAATCCTCACTCAGAGGCCATAAACACTGTCTTATTACATCCAAGACATCTCTCAGTTAGACTACTGCAGTGCATTCCATGTGGACAGCTTTTGAAAAGCATTTGGAAGTTACAATTGGTCCAGAATACAGCTCTGGACCAGTTGTAATGAATGAATGAAAGCATACATCTTGAGGTACCTATGTAACACCTGTAATTCAAGAGCTGCACTGGTTTCTAGCTGGCTGTCTCCTTTAAATTCCTTTATGATTTAGGACCTGGATATCTGTAGGATTGCTTTCTCTTGATTACATCTGCTGTCCAATAACATAAGCAAGGCAGCCCTTTCTGTATTCCCTTAATTAGAGATTGCCTCCTTTAGAGGCAGAACAAATATACCTTTTCAGTAACTTCTATCCCCAACTCTGGAATAGTATCCCTTCAGATAAAATACCATCTCCTAGTTTTCAGAGTTAGTGGCTGGCTATTCTAACCAGGCCTAGGAGCAGGCTTGTTAAGGCTATCCTTGCAAACAAATAATTGTCACTGTATTTCAAATATACATCCTGTCTTAAGTGATTATAATTTTATGGTTTTCATGTTAATTTTTTGTTTTTAATCCCAAATTATGGTTTTGTGAAGACTATTGATCTATTAATTGAAAGGGATTATAAATAAAAATAAGAACTAGAATTGAAAATGCTATGGTGTGTGGTCTTTAATGCTGAAATAGACTGCAGCAAAAGTTGCATCTAAGAAGCTTGCCTGAGGTTTGTATGTATTTGTCCCCTCAAAAACGCTATGCTGCTTTTGACAAGTGCTAGTAGGATAAAGGTAAAAGGAGGATGATAAAGGAGTCAAGAAATTCCTCAGCCTCAGCACCAATATAATACTGATGTTATAATCATTTCTTTCATAATGTCTTATTTGAATAAGCTGACGATCAACTTTTTCTGCTGGAAACTGTTAACTCTAAAATATGGGATATGCGGTTTTAAATAGTGTGTATAACAGATTTGCACACCTGTCAGTTAATTCTATAGAATTTTTGATGTCACAGAGACCTGTCTTACAGAGGAGAGAACAAAGTGGCCTGGGAAGCAATGAAAATTAAATGAAAATAGGATTTAGAGAGAATATTGAGCCGCCATCTCCCTGCTGCAATACGTTTAAACTGAACCGGGCCGCGCACGTCAACTGTCTCCCTCTAGGCCTGAGGAGATACTCCCGGTTTCTCGAGGGCTGAGGCGTGTATTCTCCCCCGTATGTTCCTCCACGCGTCAGTGATGCAGTCGTCCCACCTTCACTTGTTTCCCAGCGTGTGAAGGGGTGGGGGTGGGTGCCTCAGCGTCACCCGAACAGCTACAGTGCTTTGGGAAAGAGTAGACCTACTTCGGCCCGCCGAGAGTGTCAAAACCGCCGCTTTTTCGTGCCTGTTTCTCGTGCTCGCGTCGCGCGCTCTTCAGCAACGCCGTGCCCGCGCTTTTGCGCGATGCAGTGTGGGAATGGCTGTGGCGCTGGGGTTGGCTGAAAGAGGCGGCCAGTCGAGGTTTAATGTCCGCCATGTTGGCCGTGGCGTACTGAGCAGACCAGGAGCGGCGAGGAGAGAAACCGGCACCCTAGCCTGGCCGCGCCACCCGGCGCCGCTGGGACCCGCCTCGGAGCGAGCCCCGCCCCGCCGCGGGAGCCCCGGTCCCTCCATGAGAGCTCTCGGCGGGGTCCGGCTCTCAGCTCGGAGCGCTCTCGCTGCTTCCCCCCCCTTTTCCGGAGCAGCAGCAGCCGCCATAGCAGTTGCAGCCGCCGACGACTAACATGAGCAAACTGTCGTTCCGGGCCCGGGCGCTGGACGCGTCTAAGCCGCTTCCCGTCTTCCGCTGCGAGGACTTGCCCGACCTGGCCGAGTATGCCTCGATCAACCGGGCCGTGCCGCAGATGCCCACGGGCATGGAGAAGGAAGAGGAGTCGGTACGTGAGAGACCCCCTCCCGTCCCTACTCCGGCCGAGCCGGGCCCCGCCATCGCCCTGTACCCAGGCCCCCACCATCGCCTCTGCGCAAGCACAAAATGGCCGCCATTTTCTCCCCGCTTCCTCCCTCTTTCCTCCCCTCCCCCTATGGAAAGAGGGTGATGTTGAACCCTAATAGCCCCGTCTGCCCTCCCTGTGGATGCCCTCCTAAGATATCTGTGTATGTTGACTCGAGTGCAAAGGCCGCCTGCCGTGCTCCCCTCAGCCTCCCGAAAGGCACAAAGGGGTCACGTGATTCGGCGGGCAGCCGCCATTTTGTTAATGCCTCTAGTTCGTTGGGCTGGGCCTTAGTACCGCAGCAGCTGCGAGAATGCGAGCTGAAACGGCGCGGAGGTTCCACTCATTGGACACTAGGTGGCGTCTTTGTATTCTATTAGTGGTCAGGCTACAAGCATGGATGGTTTTGACGTTTACCAGTCCGGGGTTTGCTGCTGTCAGTTCTGTAACTATCAGTTAAGTTATGGGACAGAAGGTAGGCTCTTGCACTGCATGGGTAAGTAATAAAGACGAGTTGTTCAGTTTACAGGAAGAAATGGGATGAAAAACCTGGTTATTGGCTGATGCTATTTAACTGAAGAGCCTCCTAGAAATATATTAATGATTTCCCCAAATAAAATTGGCTTGTTGACTACTCGACTAATACAGAAAATCAGTTAAATTAGTCTGGTCATTTCACCAATTTTTTTGTTTTTTTAAGCCAGATAATTGGCACTAATTTAATTCAGTTTTGAGGTGAGCAGCAATAAAAGCAGAAACAGTATTTAGGAGTCATATAGTGTTCACAGTAAAATACTCATCTTTTAACATTATAATGTAATAATCATGTTTACTAATGTACATAATATAATTTCTTTAGCATATAGGAAGTACATAATCTCAAACTGTATAAACCACATAAATGGCGCATTTTACTTAAGAAAAGTTAGTAGTATATTAATACATGCATCATACTTGATTGTATCACAGTATCCTTGGCATCAAGTGTTTAAAGATTGAATGGTAACATGTTTGTCTCATTGGTGTTTAAATGAAGAAAAAGCATGTTTTACTTAATTCATATATGTAGTGCATATTCAAAACTTATTTTTTTAGTAAAATCTACTTAATATCAATTTGAAAAGACCTAGTTTTTCTCTTCTATTTTTTTCCTTGAGACCACTGGGTTAATAGTAAGTTTGAGAACTAAAAATTAGGCTGGATTTCTTTTATCCTGAATTTGTGCAGCTGCCCACATTTAGATAGATAGAGATGCACTGACTCACTAGGCTTCAGGTCCTGCTGATAGAAATTAATAGATTGATAGTATATGTTTGCAGAGATATTAAGACTCTTAAATTTAGTAAGACTTTCTTATGTTAGATCATATGAAATTGATCATAACAATTAAAGAAACTCCTGTTGATTAAATTTAGCATATTTAAGAAAATGCTGTCTGTAAAAATTAGAACTTTTCTTAACTATATAAGCTATATTTGGCTAAATAGCTTGATACATATGGAACAATATTTGGATTAAAGAATTTTACTGAATAAAGTGAGAACATAAAACCTTACTATAAATAAACAAACAAACAAACTAAGCTTAGAGAAAATTAAGTAGAATATAACCAAATAGATAATAATAAATAATACAATACATTTAGGAACCATCTTAACATATTATTGCAGTATGTCTACAAGAGGACAGGTCCACAGACAGTCTGGAACAAGGACATAGTAATCTTGGCCAAGCTACTTCAGAAGAGAAATTTGGAAGTGAGAAAAGAGTAAAATTTTCAGATAGTTATCACTGGAAGCACTAGCCTACCAGGCACCTTACTTACCCTCATTTTAATTAAAAGTGGGAAAACTGATATATTGCAAATCATAAACTTCTAGTGCCATCTTTATTTCCAAGAATACTAATTCTTAGCCAACTTAGAAGAAACAAATGCTGACGGCAGTTTGAGTGGTTTTCTTGAGATAAGACCACAAGCAAGGAGAAGGAAGAAAAAATAGAGGCTGTGACAAAGATAGGTTTCAAAAATTGGCCATATAGTAAATGAATGCCACAGTAAATTCAAATACATCCACAAATAATTGTTGCCCATGGCCAAGACCATCTCCTTTTACATAATGTAGAATCAATTCCTGAACATATAACTGTAATAACAAAAAATACACCAGATTCTGAACTTTATCCCCAAGTCTTACCCATTCTTTCAACTAAAATTAGAGGAACTATTACTGTCCTGTCCTGCATGTATCTTTCAGGGTTTCTGGTTGTTTACAGTAGATATTCTAACCACTGTTTGGTGTCTTTCTCATTTGGGAAAATACATGTTTCTTTGAGAATCAAATCAAGATCTAGGATTTAAATTTCATAATATATTATCTCCACCAGATTGATTTAATTTGCTTGAGTGATCAGGCTTTGTCTATTAGCATGCTACTTGTGCATAGTAACCTTGGATAAGATAAATATTCTGTGCTTATGTACCAATATGACCTGTATGCGTGAACCCCCTTAACCATAACCTGGCTTGATTTCTTTAGATCACTGCTTGCTTGCTTGCTTTTTTAACTTATTGCCACATGTTTCCTGTATAGATCTAGTTGTTATTAATATTCTATAGTACTATATTTACAGTAGCATGTTTTAATGTACAAGTCTGCATATTGCCAGATACACATCTCAACTACGTTTACTGCTGTAGAGAGTACATGAAATTCAAAATTGTTTTATGCTTTATATAGAAAGTGTATCCAGGGTTAATATATTGGTCAGTATAAATGCAGCTTTATATTCACTTCTTAAAACTTAATTAATAATCAGTTGTCATTCTCATCTTGTTTATAGCATCTACTGTGTTTCTCCGAAAACACAACCCACCCCAGTAATAAGACCAACCCTAATTTTTGGGGAATGGGCCTAATATTACCCTTACCCTGAAAATAAGCCGGGGCAATGGGCATGGCCAGCACAAGAGGCAGTACGAGGGGGCAACTGTCCGGCTGCAGCCTACTGGCCCCTTGGGGCAGCGCAAATACTGCTTTTTCCCTTCTCTTTCTGGGTGCAGCGCTTCTGCTTGTTGGGCCACTTCCCTGAAGCCAGCAGCTCAGTGGCCAGTGTTTTGCTTTTTCCCTCTTTTTGGAAGACTTGGGGAGGTTTTGGCAAACGGGAGGAAAATGGGGAGCGGGATTTTCCTGCCTATCATTCTTTCCTCAGTCTGTGTTGAGCTTGAGGAATGGATGACAGGCGGGAAAACCCCATCCCCATTTTCCTCCTGTTCACCAAAAAGCCTCCATTCTGAACGCTGAAGGTTCGTAATGGAGGCGATGGTGCGTCCACGGTGCGTCCAGCTGGCCTGCTGCACCTCAAAAAAAGTAAAACCACCTGGAGCCCAAGTGCTTATTTTCAAGTCCAAAAGAAAATAAGACTATGTCTTGTTTTCTGAGGAACACAGTAAGTGAATACGTTTTTTGTGTTTCAATATAAACAGGATAACTGCAAAGAATAAAATTACTGAAGTTTCAATCGTGATGACTTACATTTAATTCAAATAAATAATATGAGATCAGATATTCTCAATTGCCAATAGAATAATAGGGCTATTCTTGATGTTCTTTATTTGGAGAATTTGCTATCAGTTTCAACAACAGTCCAATTTTCCTATAATAGATAGAATGGAGAGAGTTATGAATATAATATTAAGAATTTGAATATGCAAAATAGCCTTGTGAATAAATGAGGCGTCTTAAATATGGAACATATAGCTCAATTATCTTTTTTTGCACTGCAGAATTTTTTCCCCCTATTCCATTAGTATTAGGATTTTAATTCCTTATATCTCCTCAAGTGCTTCCATCTAATTCTTCTCCTTAGTTTTGGAAGCTAGACAGAGTAAGCAAAGAAATAAGGAACCAGTTTACCCCAACAATATCTTAAATTGAGGCTTTTATCTATGTGACAATAATGATTGGTTTCACATGTTAAACCATGCTTTGCCTAATTGACAGGATTCTTACAGTCCAATCCAAATACACTATGTCTGTTTTTTATTTTATTTTTTAAATGATCAAACAGAATTGTAATTGTAAAGGCATCAGTTCTTCAAAGATGGGAAGATATACTGGTACAAAAATACTTAGAATTGTATATATTTAAAAACAAACTTGAGTTTCACTCATTAGCAAATTGGCAGTCAGTACAGTAGCTTTAGCAGTGAAACAATAAATTCAAAGGTAAACAGCCCACGAAAAACTTAGCCACCACATTTTTACCAGCTATAACTGATTAAGTATAACAGAGTGCTCTAATAATCAAAATATAAGGTTAACTATTTATGAAAACCTAGCTGGATTATTTCCATCCAAGATAAGATATTACCATCAAGATTGGTAATGGTATTTCTGACCACTTAGGCTTTCAATGACATTGATGATTCTAGCTCCAACTTCTCTGTTCATTCTGATTTAATGCAACTCATATAGAACAGACAAATGTACATACCCAGAAAACACTAAACAACAAGAATCTCTGTTTGCAAGATTCAGCAGTTTAAGTCCACTATATCAGGGTTTCCCAACCTTTCCTACTTTGCGGACCAGTGGGGAGGGGAGAGGGGATGGTTCTACATGAGCAGCTTGCAAGCGCATGCACAACTTTATTTGCATGAATGGCAGGCATACTGACTCGTTGCTTGCGCAAATGGAGCGCTTGCATGCTGTTTGTGCAAGTGGGGATGAGCACAGGTGCTCGCCCACTATGCCCACAGCCCAGTTCTGAAAGACTGAAGGCATGATAGTGGGCCGTGGCCTGGAGGTTGGGGGCCCCTTTGCTGTCTTATCACTGCATCCAGTCATTGCTTCTGGACATGTATAGCCTCTCAAGTTAGATGTTACAAATAAATTAATATATCAGCATATTATTGATGATACCAAGCCATGAAAATTCTGATA